TGTAGTATGGTTATCCTTTGTTTTACATCTAATATCCACTTATGAGTGAGTACATACCATGTTTGTCCAAGAAGGACATATTTTAAGCTTGTTCCTTGTAAATAGTAGTATTATCTTCATAGGCTTTATCGCAATTGTTCCCTTCAAATTAACAGGTTCCATGTAAATAAATTGATGAAACAATGTGCTACAAGAATTGCCTTTGAAATTCCAAAACAGAAGGATGAAATGAAAGTCGGTTTGAACAGAAATGGATGTTGCATCTCTTTCACAAGTGCCTGCATGTTCTGCCAGAATCTGTGTTCCTCGATGTGCTTTCTCTCATGCTTCCCTGAAGACAAGTGCGAAGAAGGTTTGAACATGTTCGCTGCTGGCAAGTTAGCGTGAATTGTGATACTCTGTAATCCAAACTGCAATCTGTCATCTCCAGTCAAATGGAGACGCATTGCAGTTGTGGTTTGCAGTTCTGTTGCTATTGATCATAGCTACCTCATTTGTGTGTTAATATACCGTGACGAATTTGAGAATGGAAACACAGTCTTGTAACAAGCCAAGAGACAAGTATTATTCTTGTCTATAATAGCGGCAGAAAATTATTTCCTAACAGATGAATAGGAGAGATGGTAAAATGGTAAAAAGAAAGTTCATTTAAGGGTGTAAAAGCCACAAAAAAGATTTCAGTTTTATAGAATGCAAAAACTAAGTGATGCAAAAAACCTGTTTGTTTTTAATCTTTGGAAAACAATGAAAAGATTTGTTTATATTTGTGCCAGGTGGCGGCGGTGGTGCACACCTTTAATCCCAGCACACAGGAGGCAGAGTCAGGTGGATCTCTGTGAGTTTGAGGCCAGCCTGGTCTACAGAGCGAGATCCAGGACAGGCACCAAAACTACACAGAGAAACCCTGTCTCGAAAAACAAAAACAAAAGATTAGTTTATTTATTGGCATGGGGGTGAGCAGTGCATGATCAAATTTCTGGGTCTGATGACATCTTACTTGACTCTCTTCTTTGACCATTTGTATTTTGGAGACAGAACTCAGGCAGTTAGTCCTGCTGGCCAGGGTCTTTAACAGTTGTGCCATCTTGCCTGTCTGACATTTTCAGGGGCGGGGGTCTTTTGAGACATGGCTTTTCTCTGTAATCCTGGCTATCCCGGAACTCACTCAGTAGATAGACCAGGTTGACTTGGAATTCACAGAGATCCATCTGCCTCTGCCTCCCAAGTGCTGAGATTAAAGGCTGAATAAACAAAGCATGGGGGTGCACACCAGTATACCCAGTACAGTGGATATGAGGGCAGGAAGATCAGGAGCTCAAGGTAATCTTTGGCTCCACAGTGAGTTCAAGGTTAACCTGCGGTACTTAAAACTCTGTTTCTAAGAAAGAAGGGTGAAGGGGAGGGAGAGAGGGGAGGAAATTAGAAGAAGAGGAGGAAGATATGGAAGAGAAGTAATAGTAGATGAAGTGGAGGAGGAGGAAGAGGAAGAGGAGGAGGAAGAAGAGGAAGGAGGAAGAAGAGGAAGAAGGAAGAAGGAAGAAGAGAAGGAAGAAGAGAAAAAGGAAGAAAGGAAGAGGAGGAGGAAGAAGAAAAAGGAAGAAGGAGGAGGAGGAAGAGATCTAAATAGTCAGCAAGGTGAGTTTTATTTTGAAGAGTTTGGCTATCGGGGTTGGAGATTTAGCTCAGTGGTAAAGCGCTTGCCTAGCAAGTGCAAGGCCCTGGGTTCGGTCCTCAGCTCTGAAAAAAAAAAGAGTTCGGCTATCAAGTGATGAAGAAAGAACAAGTAAAATGACAATCAGTGATGAAGTAATTTCTCTGGGAGAGAGGGGTGAGGGGGGGGAGAGAAGAGAGGAAAATAGAAGACAAAGCTAGCTCTGGCACAACTTTGCTCCAAATTAGAACCTAATTATAAGCAAACCTCTATGTTTTCTACCAACAGTACAATATTCTGACAAATTGTAAGTATGCAAATATTCTGGATCATAAGAGAGGGTTCCCCTGATGGAAACAGACTGAATCAGAAGGAGCAAGATCCTTCCATCCTACTCAGCAATGAGCTAGTCACACACAATCCTTTTTTTTTTTTTTTTCCCTTTGGTTTTTCGAGACAAGGTTTCTCTGCGTAGCTTTGCGCCTTTCCTGGAACTCACTTGGTAGCCCAGGCTGGCCTCGAACTCACAGAGATCCGCCTGCTTCAGCCTCCCAAGTGCTGGGATTAAAGGCGTGTGCCAACATTGCCGGGCCCCACACACAATCCTTTAAGTGGAATGAACTTTCTACAGTGTATGGGCTGAAGACCAACTGTCCAAGGCTCTTGATACAGCAATGGCAATCTTTTACTCAAATGAAAGCTTATCCACTGTGGTGGTTTGAAAGAAAATGCCCTCCAAAGGGAGTGGCACTATTAGAAGGTGTGGACTTGTTGGGGTAGTTGTGGCCTTGTTGGAAGTGTATCACTGTGGAGGCAGGCTTTGAGGATTCATATAAGCTCAAGCCACACCCACTGAGGCAGGCTACTTCCTGTTGCTTTCTGATAAAGATATGTACATACTGCCATGCTCCGTGCCGTGATGATAATGGACTAAACCTCTGAAACTAAACCGCCACCTCAATGAAATATTTTATAAGAGTTGTCATGGTCATGGTGTCTCTTCACAGCATTAGAGGCCCTAAGACAGAGGTTGGTAGCAAGGACTGGGGTATTGCTGTGATAGGTCTGGCCATGTTTTGGAGGAACTTGGACTTTGGTACTTTGGCTTAAGAAAGCAGTGGAATGCTTTAACCACTGCTTAATGAGCAAGGAAGACAAAGGTACTAAGAGTGATTTGAGCTGTAGGGGGATGGTTCAAGAGGCTTCAGAGGAGAAGAATTTTAATATGTTGCATAGAGATTGTTCTTGTGATATTTTGGTGAAGAATGTGGCTGCTTTTTGCCCTTGTCTGAAGAGTCTGCCTGAGGTTAAAGTAAAGAGATTTGGATTAATTCTGTTGGCAGAGGGAACATCAAATCAGCCTAGCATAGACTCTGTTGTGTGGGTTATTAATGGTAACTCTGATGAAGGTTTATAAAGAAAAGCAGCAGGAAAATGTAAAACTTGAGGAGAAAAGGAGCACCAGGAAGTGAAATGAAACTAAGTCCTGTGTTCAAGGAGATAAAGGATTAAAAAAAATGGAATAAAGGAAGTGGTGACGTCAGGGCAAGATCCCACCCAGCTAAGTTTCCAATTCGTGAAAAGGGATTCAGGAAAAGTTTAGAGCTGAGTGTGGTGGTGCATGCCTTTAATCCCAGCACTCTGAAGGCAGAGGCTCACAGATCTCTGAGTTTGAAGATCTACAGAGCAAGTTCTAGAACAGCCAAGTTTAGACAGTAAAGGTAACCATCAAAAACAGAAAGCTGGTGAAGATGTAGTTGAACAAGGGGCCGTGTTCCAGCCCCAGCAAGCAGCAGAACTTGGCAGCTTCAGCCATGTGGTTCTGGGTATAGAGTTAAGTATAGAAGAAGTGGGTTATGGAGTTTGCCCCCAAGACTAAGGAAAGCTGCTGAGGCCAGGTATGTGTCAGGGATGTCCCTGAATGGAGGCCTAGAGAGGCCTTTGTGTGACGCTGTGAAGTTGAATCCTGGATTGCCTTGGAGAACCCAAGATGTTAGAGATGCCAGAGTCGCGAGATACCTGCTGAGGAGAGCTGCTAGCAGGGAGTGGAACCCGCCCAAGAGAGAGAAGTGTGTTGAGGTCAACAAAGCTGAAATGAGTTGGAGATCTGAAGAGCATTTTGCCATCAGACATGGAGATGCAGAGTTTGGAGTTTGCCTAGCTGGTTTTTGGTCTTGCTCCTTCTGATTTAGTCTATCTCATTAGGGGAACCCTCTCTTATGATCCAGAATATTTGCATACTTACAATTTGTCAGAATATTATACTATCGGTAGAAAACATAGAGAAGCTTGCTTATTATTATTAGGTTTTAATTTGGAGCAAAGTTATGACAGAGCTAGCTTTGTCTTCTTGGACCTATCACAGCAATACCTCAGTCCTTGCTACCAACTTCTGTCTTAGGGCCTCTAATGCTGTGAAGAGACACCATGACCATGACAACTCTTTTTTTTTTTTTTTTTTTTCCGTATCTCTGGTATTTTAATAGGGAGAAACATCGAACATATACAATAAAGAAACTGAACAGTAAAACTAATACAGAAGAAAAACTCTTCAATGTACAACTGAGGAATACATTTTATCACCAATCTAAACTTTGCTTTCTTCGGTGAAATCTGTAAATGAACCATGTTCTCAAAGAACTCTGTTTGATTCTCTCCCCATGACCAGAAATTCTAAACTTATAGGGAAAACAAATAAGAAAAAACAACAACAAAAAACCCCAAAAACATTGCATGACAATGGACACCAAGTTCATAAAGAACCTCTTTTTAAATGAGATATTATGTAAGAAAATACCATGAAAATAATAATCCTATGAGAATTGTTTAAGCACAGTAAATTTGAGCCCCGGTCTTCATGACGATACTACAGTTTATATAGAAAACTATAAATATACAAGACTCCAAGGGAAAAAAGTCAGAATACATATTGTCTAACATTTTTCAGGCTACAAAACTTTTGAAAGGGGGAAAGATGGCTGATGGCCAACTGCATCTTAAGCCAGGTGTGGTAATGCACACCTATAATCCCAGTACTTGGGCAGGAGTATCACTCCAAATTCAAGGCCACCCTGGACTACTCAGCAAGTTCCAGGCTAGCCAGGGATATAAAATGAGACCCTGTCTCAAAAGATCAAAAACTGGAAGGGAAAAAAAGGGGGAAAAGAACACAAAACCACAAAAACCTCCTAGGTCCAAGTGTCCTCCCCAAAGGAACTATCCTTTCTGTGGCATATAACTTATTTATACTATTAAGGGGCAGGGGAGTACTGAATTACTAGAGTCTTAAATAAGGGAAAATGAACCTCATAGTGTAAACAAGTCTGGCTCAGAAAGAAAACTGAACATCTCCCAGATCTGTCCATGAAAGTAATGATGGTGCATCTTTAGCATTAAAGAAATAGGTTATAAAAAGTTCAGTCTCAGAAATGATTTTTCAAAGCTCATTTGTGCTCCTTGGTGGGTGCGTAATAAAGTTCCATGGGCTTGTTCACTTTCCAGTATTTCTCACTGACCAATTCCAAAGAAAAAGAGCCATTTAATACAGTGAACTGGCCACTGGCTGTCGCTATGTAGATGGTGTATTGCTTCTCGCTGGCTGTATCGAGGTTCATCTGGTTGGATTCTCCTTTGCTTCGAAGTTCTTCTAAAGCTAACCTCACAGCCAGATACTTGGATAAGTGATCAACAGTAGCATTACCTGAAGTCTTTATGTATCTTGTCTGTGCACTGTCATCCTTTTCCATAAGTGTTGGATGGGGCCTGAACACTAATTCAATTTCACTAGCTCCATCCATCACTGGATCAATTGCCACCGTTGCATTGTTATTATCAAGTTCAAGGCCGGAGTCGTCCGAGGTTTTGGTCCGCTTGTTGCTAGGCCCCGCCTCCTGGTTGCTGTGTGTGGATGCGTTGCTACAGTGGGAACTGTCCCCGTTGTCCTCCGCCCCGCTGCCGTTTTCAATCTGCTGCTTCTTGCCTCGCTGTAACCTGTTCATGGCCTGGATCTTCAGGCCTTCCTCAATGCTGTGGCTGAGCGCCTGCTGGTTGTTGTGCTTGTTGATCCTGGCTAACACTCTCTCTTGATGGGCTTCGTACTCATCACGACTTGGATAATTGCTGACGAGTGCATCAAAGTTTGGGTCCGGCCTTAGTGATCTTTTAGAAACTAATTTTTTCCTACAGGTAGGGCATTCTTTGTTGCCACTTCTAAGGGCTGTGATAATGCAATCTGCACAGAATTGATGTAAACACTCCTTTGTAGTCATGGTGTTCTTCAACATATCCAAACAAATTGGGCACATTAATTCACTGTGGAGACTTCTGGGTGACAACTCTTATAAAACATTTAATTGAGGTGGCGGTTTAGTTTCAGAGGTTTAGTCCATTATCATCATGGCAGGGAGCATGGCAGTACACAGGCAGACGTACCCATCTTTATCAGAAAGCAACAGGAAGTGATCTGTCTCACTTGAGTGTGGCTTGAACATATATGAATCCTCAAAGCCTGCCTCCAAGGTGATACACTTCCAACAAGGTCACACCTACTCCAACAACTTGCTTTGGTCCAGTATTTCCTCACCACTTTTGCTTCCCTATGTTTTGGAATGGTAATGTACATTTTGTGCCATTATATATCGAAAGTATGTGATCTGTTTTTTTTATTTTATTTTATAGGGGATTACATTTAAGATATTGCATGAATCTCAGAAGAGACTTTGGACTTTTAAACATTGTTGAGACTATTATAGACTATGGAGACTTTTGAAGTTGTACTAAATGCATATTGCATTATGATATTGTTACATTCTTATGGGGGCCAGGGATTGGAGTGTGGTAGTTTGAATAAAATTGCCCCCCCCCAATCTCACAGGGAGTGGCACTATTAAGAGATGTGGCTTTGTTACAGTAGGTGTGGCCTTCTTGGAGGAAGTGTGTCACTGTGGAGGAGGGCTTTGATGTCTCTTTTGCTCAAGCTTCCCTCAGTGTGGCATTGAGTCCACTTCCTGTTGCCTGCAAGATGCAGCATTTTTAGCTCCAGCACCATGTCTGCCTGCATGTTGCCATGCTTACCACCATAATGATAATGGATTGAACCTCTGAAATGTAAGCAGCCACCTCAATTAAATGTTTTCCTTTATAAGAGTTGCCATGGTCATGGTTTCTCTTCACAGCAATAGAAACCCTAAGACACAAACCACAAGTTCTCTCACCCATATATTTTCTGAGTGCTTGTCCCCAAACTTCCTTATCTCTTAATCCTACAACACAAAACCATGTTCTTTTATTTTACTATAGATCTCTTTTCAAACTGTATTAGTTAATTATTTTTAAATCTTGTGTATGTATTTCCTGCATGTATGTCTGTGTACCACCTGCACGTCTGGTTTCTTCAAAGCCCACAAGAGGGAGTCAGATCCCCTGGAACTAGAGTTATGGATAGTTGCGAGCCATCATGTGGGTGCTGGGAATCAAACCTGGGTCCTCTGGAAGAGTCGCTAATGTTCTTAACCACTGAGCCATCTCTTCATCCTCAGTTTTACTATAGAAATTATATATCCACCAAAACTGTCAGGCTCACCTCCCCCTCATTTTCAGGATAGCTGGTAGACTAAGAAAAGCCAAGTTAATTGCCTAGTTCAGTAAGGAAGGTAACCTTGAAGGAGTAATGATCTGACCTTGGGATGGAGTGGCTACAGGCGCATGTTATTAATTTGATAGGGTTATCAGAGTCCTGAATAGGATTGAGCAAAATTCATGTTGTAATAGCTTATTATTGGTGGATACAGCATAGGAAGAAGTTAAGTCTTAAAAAGCTGGCAAATGAGAGGTTTGCCCGGTCAAGCAACTCTTTGTCCCAAGATATGGCTTTGCTGAGTAGCCTGTTGTCCCGTGTTAGTCCTTAATCCTATTAAGAAGTAGGTCACAGACAACTGTTTCCTGTCCAAACCCTCAGAAATCATAAATACAGGTTCTTCTCTCTCCAAGGCAGGGAGGACTTCAAGTCTTCTTGGAGAGAAGAAATGCTTACATTTTGGTGTGTATGCATAAAGAGGTCTTTTCTTAGCAAATGGAGAATAAAAGTTCAGAGTCAAAAGTGGAAGACAGGTTAAATTAATGTCTACTATTGTAATGAGGAATAATAATACATGACTTTAATAATCACCATCTTAATATTGTTTATCTCTGGGTGATTTTATTTCCTTTGTATTCATTTCTACATTTTTCAAATTTTCTTATCATCAATATGTATTACTCTAGGAATAGAAACAAATGACCCACAGAGAAATTCTATTTCTCTCCATCGTTAATTTGCTCCCAATGTTTTACAAAGATTGACTTCTTTTCCTTTTGTAATTACATTTTCTGAGTGTTTACATGTTTTAACTTTGAAGACATTTAGATAATGGAGTAGAGAAGAAATTAACTTTCAAAACTGATGGCAACACATCTGCTTTTCTTGTCTTTCTTATTCCTCTCACCACCGAGCACAGTATATAACCTATATTAGATGAGTACTAAAAGAGGTTGATTAACATGCAAGTCAGTAAATACAGACAAACAAACCCCACCACGACTTTACCATTGGACTCTTCTAGAGACGGTAGTGAAGGAATGAGATCAGGTCATGGAAAAATGAGACTTCATTTAAATAAGATTAGGTCAAAAATCTTTTTTTTTAAACAGCTCATTTTAATTGTTTCCTTATCGGATCATTAATTCATTATAGCCAAGGCATATTATTCTTAGTGTCTTCTACATGGGAGCAACATTCCCTGATGGAGTGAGAAAAAAAAAATCAAACCACAGTAACTGAAAAGAATATTGTGCTTCGTTTGTATGTTTAAATTTGGGACAAATCTTTTAAAAAATGGTGTCAGTATTTTACCAGTTGAAAGCAATGTATCTAACAAGGCTTTAAACACACACACACACACACACACACACGTGCACACATGCACACACAGACACACACAGACACACACGTGTGCACACACATACACACACACAGAGACACACACACAGACACACACACATACACACACACAGACACACACACAGACACACACACAGACACACAGACATACACGCGCACGCGCGCATACACACACATACACACATGCACACATGCACGCACACGTGCACACACACAGACACACATACACACGAGCGCACACACACATACACACATGTGCGCACATACACACACATGTGCACACACACTTTTTTTTTTATCGAATTCAATGATCGGATATGAAAACAAGTAGCCTCCCGATGCTCCCCCTCCTTCATGCTGTCTGTGCCTCTTCGCTCACGCGAGAATGGCTGCTAAGTTGTTAACTTGTGCCACTCAATGTTTCTTCCAGACATTTGTGATTTCCAACATGGCCATCACAGTGTACTAACACAGTGGGCACTAATAAATACAGGGCTAATGAACAACTGTGTATCTATGTGTATGTCTCTATATGTATTCATATGGAATATTTTTAATTTGTTTGTTGATAATTTCATACATGTACACAATGGACTTTGATCATATTCACTCCCAACCCACCCCCTACTCCTCTTGGACATTCTCTACATTTCTTTCCCTTCAAATTCCAAGACCTTTTTCTTCTTTTCTAACTTTCTGAGTTCAATTAGTGCCTCCTGCATAAGCATGGGTTGGGGTCATCCATTGGAACACAGTATTCTACACTCCTGAAGAGAAATGACTCCCTCAACAGCCAATAGCTTCTAAGCTGGGGGTGGGGCCTCATGACCTTCTATCCATGCTGGGATGTTGACCGGCTTGACTTGGTGTAAGTCTTGTTCAGGTAACCACAACTGCTGTGAGTTCATGAGTCCCAACACCCATGTCATGTTCCAAAGACAGCATTTCACGGGACTCCTCCCTATCCTCTGGCTATTGCGGTCTTTCTATATCTGATGTTCCCTGGGCCTTGCTGATTTGGATGTCTCTCTTAAGGCTGAGGACTCAAAAATCACTTCTTCTAAGCACTTTGACCAGTTCTAAGTTTTTCTTTTTTCTTTTTGGTTTTTCGAGACAGGATTTCTCTGTGTAGTTTTGCACCTTTCCTGGAACTCACTTTGGAGACCAGGCTGGCCTCGAACTCACAGAGATCCACCTGGCTCTGCCTCCCAAGTGCTGGAATTAAAGGTGTGCGCCACCACCGCCGGGCTATAAGTTTTTCTTACTACAAAAATAAGCTTCTCTAACCAAGGCTTAGAGTAGCACTAATCTGTGGGTATAAACATAAATGTATAGACAGCAGCTTGATAACATATCCACTTAGCAAAACAATGGTAGGTAGTTCTCCTGTAGAGTCTATGATCTTTGCAGTCATGAGCTTTTGACTAGATTCACAATAGCAGGCCTGGGACCCCTTCAGTTGAGCAGACCTCAAATTAAAGTAGGAAGTGGGTGGTTATCCCCTAATAGTCATGCCACTATTACACAAGGAGTAACTGTATTTCAATGACACAGAGATAAATAAACTGTAATAGATTACTGTGCATTCCTACTTTCTGAGTAAGATACCAAGAGCTAGCCTGTCAAATGTTGGCTGGAATAAGTGGTCTAAGTGTTTGGGTACTTCAGACTCTACATGTGCCTCATAAAAAAAGATACCGGCAAAACCACTGAATAATGTTTTAAATACATGCTATTGCTGGATGACTTTGAAAGTAATGGAATATATTAAGCCTATTTGAAAATTCTTTCCAATTTATAATACTAGAGGATGTGTGTAGCACTCACGCTACTACCCATTCACCATGTCCGAGTGAGGGGCTATGGATTAAAACAGAAACAAGACAGCAAGTCATTCATCTCAGTAGAATGCCATTTATTGAAGGAGGGAAGAGGTCTTAAATACAGGCTTACAGTACAGTGGGAGAACCCCGGAGGGCAGAAGTTCACTACAGATGTTTTACATACTTGCATCCTAGCTGTTTACACCAATATGCAGGATACGCAAACAAGGAACAAGAAACTTCCCGTGGTAAGCTGTTTAGGAGGAAGGAAACCGGCAGGGAATTAGCATAGGGAGGACATCTGATCAAGGTCAGCAAGCAAGGCAACAGCCACCCAAGGGACGGGGGTCAGGGCTCAACAGATATGGTGGTTTTCTTGTAGGAAAACCATAAGGGTTCGGGAAAAAATCTCCACTATGGCCATAGCCGTTAGGAGTGGTACAGTAGCACACAACATGCCTGCTTCCCAGGGATTCATCAAGGCTTCTGGTTGGGACTTCTTAATGGTACCACCTTATTATGAATTAGACTGCTGGCCTACTGACTCCTAGGAACACGTGTTTGGAAGCAAAATGTCACCTTGAATTCCAGTGTCATGAAGGTAAGTCATTTATCCATAGTTTTACTTGTAGTAAGATTCACCCAAGATTTCCTAGATACTGTTCTTGGCCACCC